TTTTTTTCAACTATCCTTAGTTTTCTCAATAATCAGTTATTAATTCAAAATTATAAAGCCACCTCTCCCTATAAAAAGAAATTAGCCATGCTTCACAGAACTCTTTGCACTTTAGTTACGTCAAAATATTGTTTTGGGGCGGGGAGGGGGGAAACATCATGATGCGTTTACATGATTGCAATGTAGCTTTAAATTACATGGAATTGTAAATCGAAAGATTCTTAGGTAAATATATATAATGTTAATGTTATTTAATAATTATTAATTTATCATATTTTTTCGTATATATCATCACTATATGTAATTTGTGCCTTCTTTTTATACGTACACTGTATACCTGGATAATTCTGAATTAATTTAATGGAGAAAAAAATAAAACTGTTGATTTAAAATGTCAAATTTTAAATAATATAAGTACAATGTTTATATATATATTATATTTATTGATTCATCAAGCTGCTCACATTTTCCCATTTTTTCCGCTAATAAAGAATTTATTGAAATTCTGATATTTTAAATTTTAAATTAGGTATATACTTATGGACCGTTTTTTTTCAAATGAGAGTCATCCTTTTCCTGTAAATTATTAATCAGATAACTTTTTTAAAATGTTTATGAATCTGAATCGAAATTCAAACTATAGGAACTGTTTTTTGTGTTTAAATTTGTGAACTAATAATTAATAATAATAAATCTACATCTAACCATTTGGTTGCATATTTATGCGTATGAAAGATAGGACTGCAGGAAATATGTTTTGAACATTTTAGTAATTAATTTATTATTTTATATTAATTGATTAACATTTATACAAGCAATACCTAAATAATTTGTAAAAACTAAAAATCCTCTGAGTATATTAAATACTATCCCAGGTCTAAGAGTACATACATTTAATATTTTTGTAAAACCATTTATTAGGACTATTATTTTTAGTATAATATTTCAATAACTCAGTAACTAATCGTTCATATTTTATAATCTTATTTATCTACATTTTCAAAAAACTTATTTAATCAATTAACACTTAACAGTAAATAAGGTTGGTTTTCATTTGGAAATGTAAGTTTGTATCTCCAAACCCTATGGTAAAATGTATGGTTACATACCTTAGGCCTTAGACCTAGTGGTTTCCAACTTTTTATAAGCGTTACTTTGAAATACTATTAACGTGTTAGAGGAAAAAATATTAGTTTTTCCTTGTTGCTTGGTAAATCACCCTGAATAGTTATTAATTGAGAACTTATTTTAGTTGACAGAACATTAGGCAATTTTATCATTTTAAGAATAAACTACAATTTTACATCACAACTAAAAATGTCAATATTTAAAATGAAATAAATTCAATAATATACATTAGCTTTAATCATTTTAATGACTTATTCTTCTGACTTTGTTGCAACAAAATAATATACTTATTATAAAATTTGGATTTTACGAATATATTTTTTTTTTAAATTTGACATTATTTATGATTATCTTGCTTGTATAGTTAGACACATGACTCTGGCTCAAGTGAATCATAGAAAATTAATTAAAATTATTATTTATACACCATTTAAAATTAACTGCCCATAAAAAAGTGTTAAATAGGAAAATCTTATTCTAACCTCATCCAATTCAGTACAGTAAAGTTTTCGTCATCCGGAAATTCCGAAAAGATTAGCATCTTTGTAGTCCGTAGGTATTAAAAAACCATTCTACTATTACAAATAATTGAATTCTACTCTTTTGATTTATTTGGTGACGGTATAGTTTACATGGTGAATTCAGACCGAGCCTTGTAAGTAGCAGTAATAAATCTGGATTAATATTGTTAGGTTAGTTTATTCCTTAAACACTCGCTGGGTATACTAAAAGACTGTAGTCTGCAGTACATACACGACATTTTATAAGCATTCTATATTGCTATCCCTTTGAGTTTTGATGATAATACATATTAATTGTGTACAGACCCTTAATGAAAACTATTCAATATGATTTAATGATAGATCCAAACGCAGTATGTAGTATTATAATATGTTATGCGGTATACATTTAATTTTATACACATGCAGTGATATATTTTTTATTTTTTATCTTAAATACTTACATTTACTTGGATATATTATATAAGTTTACATTTAACTACATACATCGTTTCATCTACCTTGCGTTTTATATTATGTATATAAATAATAAGCTTGTTGGAACATGTGTGTTGAACAGAATGTTATACTCAATAAAATAAGTTTGGGAGTTTAATTATCAATCTCTAATCTCGATCGTATCATTCATTTCTTAGTACGAAAAAAATTTATAATTATATTACTGTTGAATGATATGGCAGTAAAAAAAAATTATCATCTTTCAAGATAAAATATTAAATAAAACTCCATTTGAGTAGAATAAAAAAACTGCATATTAAGTATGACGTATAATATGCCTAGTATAGTATGTATTTTATTTTAATTATACGCTACAGATATTAATAATTTTCTGTTTTAATCAGCATAATATATTATAGTCCTATAGGATTATAAATTCTAATCTTCATGGTGAATACCATGATATATCATGATGCATTTAATTACGTTAGATGTGATATTAATGTTTTTGTACTTACTATCTATAGAGTAATTTTATAAATTTGTAAGTGCTGATTTGTAATTACAAATTTGAATAGATGTAAAGATAAATAGATTTCATAAATTTTAAAGACATAGCTTACAATATGATAATTTTAGTATTTAACTTGTAATACATCACATTTAGTTTCATAAAATAAACCTATGGCAATTATATTATATTGTTGATAATATGTTTAAGCTAATTAAATTTAAATTGTTTAATACCTTGTCTAAGATATTGAAGTCTTAATTGTGAAAAAAAAATAGGATGTCGATTAAGTAAGGTTTGAATTAATAATTCAATATTTAAAATATACAATTATTAATTCAACTTTTTTGAAAAGTTTGACCAATTCAATGCCCAGCATTCCTGCCAAAAGAATAAAAAGGAAATGGTGTCACGACCTTCTTCCCGTTCAATTTAACCCGCCCTATAACTATACCCCAACCCCAGAAGGATCGTCAGTAGGTGGCTTCTCCCTTCAAGATACCAAGCTAAACTTAATTAACCTCATTTAATCTTATTATTTATTTCTTCAAATATACAAAGGACAATAAGTCCTATTACAATTATTTATACATTTCTATTATACAAAAAGTGTATAAATTGTTGTACAAATAAAAATTTAAAAAAACTTATTTTAGATTTATATTCTTGCCTTGCTCAGAATGTATTGATTTTACAAACGTGTGAGTGTTTTTTTTAGATTCTAAGCTGAGAGATAAAAGTATTGGTTTTATAATATACTCAGTGTGTGAGTGTGTGTGTATGTGTGTGTGTGTTTGTGTGTTTGCCATCATTCATCACGTTTTGGAGAAGAAAAAATGCTTCAATCTAATACTAGTGGTTTTGGTAGAAAATTGTATTGCGCTTGTAATTTGAGTAAAATGTAAGAATGACTAAGACTGACCAAACAACATCAGAAAACGGAAATATATCAACAGAAGTTTTCATCAAAATCGATTAAAAAAAGTTACCTAGGTTAGGTTAGTTAAGGTTTAACTACAGGCTTGACATTTCACCAAATATTTGTATTAGCATTTTATAAACACAGTATAATTTTCAAAATAAGTTATAATTTCTAGGTTCTATATAGTCATATAAATATTTAAAATGATCTACGTTTTTGATTTAATGCTTAAAAATATTATCGAAAATACAGTCAAAAACTAATTTTTTTTTAAACCATATGAAGTTTAAATGTCTTGATTAAATTTGTTAAAATCACGAAAAATTGGATATTATACTGTAGTTGAAAATTCATAAAAATATTTAAATTTAACCAAAGACTTGAAACTTAATACAGGGTAAGTTTCTAATAAGTTCTCATGGCAATAATAAAATTATTCAATACTATAGTAAATATATTGCACCTATATATAGTCAAAGTTTTTTTTTTGAAGTTAAAATTTCGTCGAAATAGGATATTCCATCATAAATAACGATTTTAGTAATTTGTCCGTAATTCAATAAATATTAATCTTAGACACTCAAAACTTTCGTAATTACATATTATAGCATTATCTACATACAATGAAATTTTGAATATACTTATACAAATTATTGCAAGCTATTTCAAGCCTTCCACAGAAACTTCTTAAACAAATTCTAAAAACTTCTTGACAAAATTTTAATAAAGCTTAAGAAATATTATCACGTTTATTAATTATAATTTAGTTAAAACATACATTTAAAAATATCAAAATATTTATTAGCAAAGATATTATAAAAATTGTCGTTAATATAAATTATGTTATTGATTAAATTGCCCCCCCCCCCCAAAAAAAAAAAAATAAATAAATAATAATTAAAAGTTTATAACATATAATTTATGTTAGATTCAGCCATGAGTCCAACTACCGTAAAACTAATTGAAAAAATAAATACATTATAAATGATGATGAAATATATTGGTAGATTATCACTTGTAGACATACGAAACAATAATAACAAATTCTGTGCAGATCTATGGAACACAAAACTACGGAAAATTAATTAAGGGAAATCAAACATTCTGTTGAAACTAGGACGAAATACATTGATCTAAATAGGAGAAAAAAAAAGAGTTGTAATTCTTAATCGACAAAGAATTGGCAAATCTTTGTATAACATTTGAAATTGTAAAGGTTAACAGTTATAATAACATAAACATTTTAAAAATAGGCTTCAAAAATTTTTTTATTTAAAACGGCTTACATCCACGATTTTTTTAAAATTAATCAATTATGTTATAGGCATGGTAAGCATTTTTACTTATTGAACATTGTATATTAATTATTATAAAGGGATACTGAAACATTTAAAATATAGGTAGCCCATAGGTACCTATCAATTATCATATATCTATAAACGTTACTTAATATTACTAAATATTAAAAAGGTGAACTTACTTTAGAATTATCTTTTCGATGATTTATCATAGCATTTAAATGTATAACGATAAAACAATAAACGTTCACCTACGCTGAGGTATTACATAATTTTTACTTCGTGTGATTCAATTTTTATTTTTTAGACGACTAATAGCACTCAACTTCAGTTTTATTACTTATCTTATTAGTTATTGCGTAAATAAGTTATAGGTAGGTAGCGTAGTGAAATCATCAATGTATAAATATGAACTAAATAAATAGAAAATCAACTAATATCTATATGGGAAAGAATAAATGCATATAATATTGTATTATTATTGACATCAAAATATTTTGTGTACAAGATAAAAAATATTTTACAAGAAAAATTGACAGTGTTTTGATATTTTATATAGGTAACTAATTTTCTCAACCACTCTACAAAAATTCAGTAGATACTTATATGAATTTTCAGTTGGAAACTGCATATTTTACATTTTATAAATTCTAATAAAATAAATAATATCTAATGACCAATTGGTAATAGTGTAAAACACGTAGATCAACATAACAAATACAACAAACATATATATAATGATATTCATTACTTTTAAGTTATAGCTCCATGAATAAAATAAAAATTATTTTGTATAGGAATTATTAACTTACCTCATGACTCATAAGTGCCTACTACCTATATATATATTATATTATTCGAAGAAACGGTAATAACGAATCAATGAACTCAACAATTTAATAGGTACCTAGGAAATATAGAAACAATTCAAACACTTGTTGTGCTTGATTCGAGAACAAAGTAACTGTTTCCCAACGAAAGTATTTATTTAATTTATAAATGTATTAGGTGCCTATTAAAATAATCTTGGTCGGCACAACGTATTTAATTTGTTGTGGATTTGTTTGGAAATATGAAAATATCTGCAAAAGCAAACAAATTATACATAAGGTATTATTAGTTTTACAGCACAGAAACATAAAGTCATTAGGTATAATATATTACATGCATTTATTGAATATTTAATAGCTAATGTGGCTTATATAATATTATTTTAGAAATGTTAGTCAATAGTTAAATATTTTAGAATTATTTAAACGTTATTTTTGCTCATTTCTGACTTTGAATAATTAAAATAAATACCAAACTATAATTTTGTTATTGTAAAGTATTGATATAATATACAGTTTAATTACGTATGTACAATCTGAACAATTAAATAATGGTAATGTAAGACGATGTTATCTATAAATAAATAGCCTATAATATTTGCGTTTTTTAAACAGTTTGAATTGAGCTATGAATATGTATACTACTATACTGTCTTGTTCTGTATATTATTACGAATAAGGTTTAATTGTCAAACTAAATACATTTTGAAAGAAATGTAATATTGTTAAAAGGTGGTGGCTATCCTATGATGTAGGTTGTGGGTATGTGTTACCGCAACATCTCATGTCTTATATTATATGAAATTGGGTGGTTTATAGTTGTAAATAATTGAAAAGTATAAATAATTATTATTTTATATTAGTTCATACTAATGTTGTAGTGTTCTAAAGCAGATGAGTGGATCCACAGAAATACCCTAAGTGATAAATATAATGTTTAATAATATTCAGACACCACTGGAAGCAAATTTATTGTAATCCTTATGAAATTAATCATTGAACTTTAAATTTCTGTGTACAAATTAATAATACTGTCGTTTAAAGTTTCAAACTGTGAAAATAGTTCAACTATAGAAGCATGTTTAGTGTTTATACCTTATAATCTATATAATAACAAGCATTCAAATTTCAAGTACATAAAGGCGTTCTCAGACTTTGGCCGCAAGGTATGCAGCTGATAAAATGAGGTTCCCAACAATATAAATGCCCCTTAATAAATTTTCATACCAAAATGACTTAAAAATGTTTATGATTATCATTATCGTTATTACTTATTTTTATTGGAAAATATTAGGTTTTTTAAACATTTTTTTATGTTGAAAAATAAAAATATATTTTTAGAAATACATGAATATTGAAAAGGATATAGGTAATTTTATGAATTTTGTCTTGCGTAAATGTTTATCATATCTGTGTATTTTTATTTTTTATTTTTCTTAAGTGTTATTTTAGGACTATTTATTGTTATTATATTATATTCATAATATATATTTACCTACATATATCATTTTACTATGCTATCTTCAAAAACTGTTGGCCCTGCAAGCGCATACCTAATGAGCGATAAAAACTATTCTTAGAGTTACTTATAGGTTATGGGTGATACCTACCAATTAATGAATACAATTGTTTTAAGATATTTAATTAATGTATAGCTATAAGTATTTCGAGGCCAGATATTCAATTAGTATCGTACACACTATACAGCATAATTGATACCAAAGCATAAAAGAGTACATTATATTTTCATATTGAATTTTTAAAACATTTTTGCATGCTCGTATAGGATTAAAAAAAACCCTGCTTATCGTCATCAAAAAAAATTGCTCGCCTAAAAATGCCTGTGCATGCAGCTCGTGCAAGTATTATAATATAGTATCACAGGTACACAGGATAAACCCTATAGTAGTAATTAATTTAATAAAATAATTATGTATCTAGTATCTGTAATAAAATAGTATACATAACATAATTATAACATTATACTAAACATCGATACGTATGTGATCGGTAGAGGGCGCGTATAGTTCGCGCGCGCACACAAACACAGACACGTACACACTCACACATGCACATAAACGTAAACATAATAATAATATAATATAATATTACCTATATACAATATATATTATATACGTTTGTATAGATATGTATATATAACGTGCATCCTCCTCACCCAACCTGTCGACCACAACTCACCTGTTTGCCATCCCTACCACGCCGCACGGCTCGTTCCACCCGGCGGCGGCAAACAACCCCCACCGCCGCGGCAGCAGCACCGGCAACAGCGACGACGGCGGCAGCAGGTGGTTTTTTTTCGTCCATCCATCGACTACGGCCGACTGCCGAGCAAGTGCAACAGTTTCGTTTGTTCAGTCTTACTAAACTGTAGTGGTTTAGATTAATTTTTTTTCCTCGGCTCGCGATGAGTACATTTACATCGTATCGTCGTCGTGTCTTTAGCAGCTTACTTACGCATTTGTCTACCCAATCCACGAGTCTGGTCAATGTTTTATTTTGAATTTTTTTTTTTACACCCGCCTAATTAAATATATTTTTTATTTTTCTAATTTTTTTTTTTTACTCAATTTAAACCGTTTTGCTTTTTTGACGTTTCTCTAGAGTCGTCAGATTTCTGATTTATTTTTATTTTTTTATCATTACCAATTTTAATAAATAACCACTTAGCTATTATATAATAATTGTCGGGTACAATTCAATAAAATATAATACACTGGAGATTGTGGATCACAACATTCTATAATATTATATTGTAAAATATATATTATTTACACTTGACCGGAGCGGGCCGAATTACAGGAAACAGTATCGTTTGCTGCCAAACCGTATAGCTAAAGGACCGAAAACAGATTAACAACGGCGAAGCCAATATCTTAGGTAAGTGTATCATAGAAATAATTGCTAGTTCATCATATTAATATATCACGCACGATACTAGTGATTTTATTGTTTGAGTATGTACCACAGAGTAGGAGTATACCTATATTATAATATTAGAGTTACTTTTTATGATATCGAAATCATTTATTTATCCCGTTTTACCTAGAGAGATCGGCCAAATTATCATTTAGTGGAGGCCGGTCACGGGTTTTCAGAATATTATCCTTTATCACTATAAAATTTAAATGCACGCGGGCACGTGATAATTTTATCGCCGTTGTTTAGGCCAGCCGACAAAACGTGCCCACAAAAGTGATTTTTAATCTTCGGGATGCGCAAATGGTAGGGAGGTCGGTCGGTTGGTCGGTTGGTCGGTACGATATAATTTTTTGTAGGCCGTTAGTTAGCGATCGGCAGCGACGGACAGCGGAAGAGAGCGAGCGCGCGAGAGACGATGACGGGTCTGGCGGCATTTCCGAGAAACGCCGTCGGGCCGGCCCCGACTACTACAACTCTCGTTGCCGACTGGCCGCCGCCGTCACCACCGTAGTAGTACCTCGTCGTGTAATCCCAGTGTACTATTCGTATTATTATTATTACTATTATTATTACTATTATATTTATAATATTATGGTCAGCGCAATGTTGCCGCCGTCGCTGTGGACGTCGTAAAAATCGCGACGGCGGCCGTCCGTGGCGCCGCATATGGTAATGCGATTTGGCAACGTCGGAGGAAAGTAGGTGGACGAGGAGTAGGCAGGAGGTGGAGGTGCTTGTGGAGTTGGAGTAGGAATAAACATCAAAACATGACTGACCCGCCACCCGCGTTTTCTGCGCGTGCACAAATCGTTGTTACATATTATTATTTTTATTACCGTCATTATTATTATTATTGCTACGGACACGATAGTAAAATGTGCATTGTGCATAATGAAATGTAATATTATTATTGCCGTCGTAAGATTTCGATCGCGAAACGCTCCGGGCTGGTTAGTGGTGACGTCCTCAGCCAAAAAAAAATGTGTTTTTGTCAGACGTGCGTTAAGTAATAACAATTTTACCAAATAAAAAGGCATGAAGAAAACGTTACTTAGGTAAAAAACGCGTGGACGATGTTTCATGCCAAAAGGCACATTAGAAATTTTAAACGTCATCGTCGTCGTAGTTGTCTGTATCAATTGTTTTACGCGATCGTCTGGGATTCGTGTTTTCTGATCTATTGGTTCCAATAATTGTTTTCTTAAAAAATGTTTTTTCCTCACGAGTAACTTTCCTCTGTTGCCGTTGCCGTATACGATTTAAGTCGATATCACGATTGTTGTTATTGCTGTTATCATCTATTATTAGTAGCTATTTATAATCATTAATGTTAGCTAAATCTACGGGCTACGACCTACCTAACTTAAAAGTTAATAACATTCACGCACCAAACGTTCGTATTGCGCATTCATTTAGCCGCCGTACACACACGGGTATGATTACGTCACGCACTCACGCGTCGCTACTTAATAATACCATGACGATAATAATATTATTGATTGTAATTATAATTATTCCTTGTGTTTGGCTGTTCCAAAA